CCTCTGTACTAGCTTCACAATTTTTCTGTAAATCTAAAACTTTTCTAAAAGAAAAAAGTTTATTAAAAAAATATTAAATCAGGCAAACTGACCATATGAATTTAAATTGCTGCTTAAAATCCATCAGTTGTTTGTAGTTTTTTAACTTGTAAGAGAAAATTCCAAATTCTCCAAATGGCCTACAAGACCTGTGTGACCTGGTTCTGCTTACCTCCTGGAACATTATTCCCTTCCCTGCCTCAGCCTCATGGACCTTCTCAGTCATACTGTCAGACTCCTCTGACAAGGGCAAGCTGCTCCTCTGCTCTCCACCTGGCTCATCCCCCAACCTTCACATTGCAGCTCAGTGTCACTTCCTCAGGTTGTCCTCTTACATCATCCTGTGTTGCCTTTTGTGCACTTGTCAATTGTAAATTCATTTGTGTTTGGTGGTTTTTGAAAACTTATGTAACTTTTGAAAACTTATGTAACTTTTGAAAACTGGTCCCTCTGAACTATGAGCCAGAGGAATGCTGAGGCCATATCTCTCTTACTTATGGTGCTTATCGCTATACTTGCCACATAGCAGGGCTCATAAGTTGTTGGATGAATGAGTAATTCAATGAAGAGAAAAGAAATGTGACATTTTTGCTCATTGCTCTAGAGACTACTAGATCCAAGCAATGCAAATGGAGGAGATTATAATTGTGTAGTTTGCTTAAAATTATAAAAACACAACTAAAATTAATGTACATGTAAAGCATCATAAAAAAGCCAAAACAGGCCAGGCGTGGTGGCTCACGCCTGTAATCCTAGCACTCTGGGAGGCCGAGGTGGGAGGATTGTTTGAGGTCAAGAGTTTGAAACCAGCCTGAGCGAGACCCTGTCTCTACTAAAAATAGAAAGAAATTAATTGGCCAACTAAAAATATATATACAAAAAATTAGTCAGGCATGGTGGCACATGCCTGTAGTCCCAGCTACTCAGGAGGCTGAGGCAGCAGGATTGCGTAAGCCCAGGAGTTTGAGGTTGCTGTGAGCTAGGCTGACACCATGGCACTCACTCTAGCCTAGGCAACAAAATGAGACTCTGGCTCCATAAATAAATAAATAAATAAATAAAATTAAAAAGCCAAAACATTGACCCTTTTTCATAATTAGGAAAAACTCAAAGAATTAATGACTAACTTGTAAGTTGAGAACAAGAAAGAAAAAGAAAGAACTTTTTAAAATATTTTAAACCTGCTGAATTCATTTATTGGCTAAATTTCAAAAGTATTAGTATAGACATTTCAAATTTTATTGTATTAAAGTAGAAAGTAGTTTCAGCTTAAATTTTGACGTAGTTTTAATATTTTATTTAATATAGTACTGCATACTTGCTTTGTTAAAGAATTATAGAGTCAGAAGGCAAAAAGTAACTCAACCAAGATGCATTGTGATATACAATTTAAATGAAAAATGTCCCTACAGTTCTGTAATATTTTTAATCACTGGAGGCCTGTCCAGTATATTTACTTCCCATGAGGGAGCTTAAGTAGTCAGTGATTTAATCAGCAAAGAGACAAAAAGGCACCAAGTAGTATATATGCTGGATCAAAACAAACATTTTACTTAAAAATAATGTGCCTTATTTGACCACTTAATGATCTATCATAATAATACAGCCTGACTTCTTCTAGTAAAAAGAAGCTCATTTTATTTGTGTGATAGGTACAAGAAGACCTTCAGATATATAGCTCTTATGGGACCCTTGAATCCAAGAGAAGTTTGCAAGGAGAGACCTTGCCCATTTCTTTAATTGCAAACATGAGATAACTTGGAGAAATGTTCACTTTCTTCCTGTCAGCTCCTCCTCACAATTCACCCCTTCCTGGTGGAACTTAATAGAGGTACAAGAAAAAATTCTGGAAGGGTGCATACTCATGGAACTGTTACTGGTGGTTGTCATTACAGAGTGGGAATATGAAAAGAAATACATGTATTTCTTTTGTTATTAAAAAGCCATTAGCAATTTAAAAATAAATTACATCAACATACTGCTTGCTTTTGGTTTTATCAGCTTATTTAACATATAATTTAGTGTATTTAACAATATTTTTGATAAGATATTTTAGTGAAAATAATTTTTAAATTATGCATATTAATATTGATTTTTTTTTTAATTTTCTTGACTCCTGATATCCATGAGATTAAGAAATTTCAAGCTTAGGTTCTCTTCGTTTAGCAAATTCTCTCAAGGCAAAAGCTGTCTTCATTATTCTATTTTTTCCTCTGTGTTCTAGTCTTCACTTAGTTTTTACCTTGGTGTTACTTTATAAAGTTTTTGTGGTGATTGTCATTTGTTTGTTTTTATGTTTTATCTAGGATTTTTAGTTGTTTAAAAATGTTGGTCTAATACCTAGTCAGCTATTCTGCTGGAAGTGAACCTCTCATAATTTTTGTACCAAAATGTATAAACTTTTCATATTACATAATTTCTGTCAGAGCTGTGAAATGGTATAATTGCCAGTAGTGCTTTTATGCTATTTGGTAGACTAACCCTTCCTCCACCAGAGTATCCTTAGAGTTTTAGCATGCATTTTGCATTTTGTTTGATTAATTTTTTGCAAAATGCCGATAAATACTTGTTAGTTTTTCCCAGGTTAGAATTGTGATGTTTGTGACTGTGGGGTGTAGAACTCTATGAGGCCTTAACTGCCTATTTAGCTGCATTATTAGAGAAAATTCAGATGGATTTTTTAATAGAATCTCAGTCCTCCCTAATGTGTAACTCCTCTCATCACACTTTCAGGCTGACGTTGGATGGCTTCACACATGTATCTATGTTAGGCTTTTTTTTTTTTTTTTTAAGAGAAGGTGGTCTAGCTGTGTTGCCTATACTGGACTCAAATTCCTGGACTTGAGGATCTTCCTGCCTCAGCCTCTGGAGTAGCTGGGACTACAGACACATGCCACTGTGCCTGGCTTAGGCATCTTAATTTTCATAAGACTCGCCTGTCTTTATCTCAGTGCAGCTTTGTGTCCTTAACTGGCCCAAAACAACAACAATAACAACAGAAACTCTATTCCAGGAACTTATCAGAAGGGTATAAATGAATTCTTGTTGCTGTTTATTATTCTTAAAAAGTCCTGAAAGAAACCAATTTTTTTTATGGTTTACCTAAAGAATATTTAGCCTGTTCATTCTATTGAGATAAAATTTAAATTTCAAATGAAGTCAGAGAACTAAATACCTAAATTATATCAAATTGACCTTCCCATGGAACAATTTCATGAAACCGCCCTTTAGGGTGATGCCATTGACTCATAAGTAGCAGCTGGTGAAACATCTCTGTGTTTACGTAAGAGGTGTTGAGGATGTTCTTCATTATATAAGCACAGGATTTCTTGTCTAAGGGAGAATTTTCTTCTAAACTTTCCAGGAGCAATTTGGTTGTGGATGCCTAGAGTTTGGTGTCTCCCTTTTTCCTTTGGCTGCTGGAAAGTTTAATGTCTTGAGGTCCTTCCCTGTCAAGCACATACCACTTCATGGGAGGTATTTTTATTTACCAGTCTCATTGCAGCTTCTAACTTACTTTAAGTCATTTTTTTGCCATATTAAATACATATTTTAAAAACCATTTTGAGTATTTTTTGGAATATAGTGGGTATATGCAAAATCATTTGATTATTGTTTCAGATAATGCAAATCAGTGAATAACCATGTTTTAGAAATGAAATTACACAATTATATGTTTACTTTTGCTTTTATAAATATTATCAAGATCCAGAAAATTAGGTTTCAGTACAGTTCACTGTCTCTAATTCCGAAGGAACAAATATGCAAAGATAGTGGAGACCACTATTAAGGTCTCTGAGAAGGTTGCTCCCTCATTTGAACAGGCAAATTTTCAAAAGTAAAATCACTCTCCCTAAATATTTTGTAGATTGCAGTAACCTGATAAATGACTTGTTTATTCATTGTCTCTCTAGTACCCACACAGTGGATTATCCATAGCAACAATCCTTTTCAAAACTTATTAGGGCCAACTCTATATTTATTGGGGAAATAAAACCACCAGCTTAAACAAACTGCCGGTTGGTTTTGTGTATTTACTCTCTTTCAAAGGGATCTGTTAAACCTTCAGTGTTCCATGTTGTATAGATCATTAGAGAAGCTGAATTAGGGTATGACTCTATGATTCTGAATGTACCATTTTTGTTGTATGTTTAAAGTCAAATAAAAAAGATGATGAGCAAATAAAGCTTTAGAAATAAAGTACTATTTTGTGTATTGAAAATAGGGCCAAATTCTCTGCACAGAAGAAATCAGAGCTATATTCTGGTAAATATTGTCACTCCTAGTCTATAGAGGTTAAATAGAATACATAACATTGGCCCAGTAAAACACATTTTCTGTTTTACTTGGCTCTAGAAATTACATTGATGTAGAATCTATAAGAAGGGCTGTGCCTCAAAAAAATATGTAGTTTCAAAATTATAGAGATTTTCATAAGAGAACAGACTTTTCAAAGAATTTGAATTGCTGTTGAAATGTAAATTAAACCTAAGATCTTTTCATGTCATTTGTTGAGAAATTAAGTACTATTTAAAAATCACAAAATGTTAGAGTTCATCTAACCAAGATTCTTATTTTACAGCCGTGAATGCTTTTAGAAATTGCTACAAAAGCACAGTGTCTCTCATCGCAAATGTCCTTGTACAATATAAAAAAATTTTTTTTAACTAAAACTTGTTAAGCTTTCACTCTATAAAGTATACTAATGGGAATACAGTAATCTTTTACAAGGGTAGATTGATGAATAATTCTGTTTTGGTTTTTGATATAATAGGATGAAGTATATTTTTTCCTTCTTAGATTTTTGAATGTAGATCAATAGTGGGGCTCTGCATTTATGAATTGGTTGAGCTGGTTTTGGTAAAACCTTTGCTATGTCAAACATATTAGTTTTTCTTGCTATAAGTTTTTTTTGGGGGGGGGTAGTTTTAGCATTTATTTTCTTTTGTTTATCTTCACAGATTCTGGAACTTTTCAAAGCCTGACCCTCTTCTTGAAACAGTGGAGCATCACACAGAGTTCACTTGTGGTTTGGATTTAAGTCTTCAGAGCCCTACTCAGGTAATGGTGTGTGACCTCATGTTGTTTTATTCTACCTGTACAGTTCATAGCTAACTGTGTGGCATGTGTTGCTTGTACGAATAAAATTGTTGCCTTTAGGTAGAACTAAGTACATTTACTTAATTAACCTGATCACTTTTGCTGTACAACTTGAGTATTTGAGCATTGAACTGCTAGGGAATAAGAGGTATCCAGAAACCTGGCATACCTCTCTCCTATTAAAAGACTGATTTCTCTGAGAGGAAAAGGAACTTTTCCAATAGATACTGTGCCTAACATGTTGAAGGCTTTGACTAGGCCTCTGCTGCTGGAAAGAGTGACAAGAGAAAGATTGGAGTAGGGCAGGCTTGTTCCCAGAGGTTGGTGGAAATCAGAAGCATGTGGTCCCTGGCTCAGCGGTCCCACTAATCAGTTGAGACCATGAGCAGGTCATTTCCCACTCAGGACTGTCACCCTGGTCTCCATGTCCCATGTTGAATGGGAGGCTGGCTTGGCTTTCTTTCATTTTCCCCTTTCTTTTCTCAGTCTTTCTTTCTTCTTTTCTTTCTTTCTTTCTTTCTTTTCTTTCTTTCTTTCTTCTTTCTGTCTGTCTGTCTGTCTTCTGTCTTTCTTTCTTTTTTTCTGTCTTTCTTTCTTTCGCTGTCTTTTTCTTCTGTCTGTCTTTCTGTCTTTCTTTCTGTCTTTCTGTCTTTCTTTCTTGTCTGTCTCACTTTGTTGCCCAGGCTAGAGTGCCATAGCATCAGCCTAGCTCATAGCAACCTCAAACTCCTGGGCTCAGGCAATCCTGCTGCCTCAGCCTCCTGAGTACCTGGGACTACAGGCATGAGCCACCATGCCCGGCTAATTTTTTCTATATATATTTAGTTGGCCAATTAATTTCTTTCTATTTTTAATAGAGACGGGGTCTCGCTCTTGCTCAGGATGGTTTCAAACTCCTGACCTTGAGCGATCCGCTTGCCGCAGCCTTCCAGAGTGCTAGGATTACAGGTGTGAGCCACCGAGCCACCGCGCCTGGCCAAATGGGAGGCATTAGGTGGGGAACAAAGTAAAGGAGAATGTCTAGTGTTTTAATTACTAAATATTATATTTTCCTTTTATTGTTCGCTTGAGACTTGAGAGTGAATATTTTGGACTTCACATATTCTTCAGGGTGTTTTTGAAAGCTGTTTCAGTTTCAGATATTGTAAAGTCAGGTTAGAAACACTACAGTCTGTTGAGTGATAAGGCACTTTATAATACAGGCTGTGAAAGAACCAACATATCAAAGAAACACAATATGTAGAAGTTCTAGAGTATGACTAAGGAATTATGCTTTTATGATAATTTTAGAAGTTAAACAAAATGAAAATTCTACTTTACATTACTCTGTTCTTAAAGTTAAATAAACACACAGATTTCATTTTAAGAATTTAAGACATAATTCTGAGTTAGAAATATTCTCATTAAAATTATACTGTTCGCATTAATATTAGCATAATTATTTTTAAATGATGTAAGAAGAGAAGAAACCGAAATAGTGATGAGTGAAATGGCATTATCTTTTATGTAAATACAATGTGCTTCAAATAAACTAGTTCCTTTTCTGAGAAATACATTTATTATAGATGATTTTTAATAAAACAATTGTACCTGTTTTCTTAGTTTAAAATATTATAATGTGCATATTGAAACATTGTACTACCAAACAAAGCATCCTAAGTAAATATTCATTAAATATTCATTCTTACATATTTCTGTTAACTGTATCCTGTGAGACCCAGACTAGACCTGTGGCTCCTCCATTTCCTTGGTTATGGCAGTTCCTCACCCAGGTCTGAAGAATACCAAATGTTTTCTGAGTCTTCCACACATAGGCCCACCTTATTAAAGGGAACTTTGTGATCAGAGGACTTATTAATCAGATGATATACATCCTTAAATAATAAGAGATTTTATTGCAAGGCCATATATCTTGTTTGTAGCCTGGCGACTGCCACCTTTCTCTTCCTGTTAACTAACCAAATTCCATTTGTACTAAGGAAGTAGTTGCTGGTGAGAGCAAGTAAGAGTGGGGAAGCAGGCGTCTTCAAGCTCTAATAAGCAGCGGGGTTCAATGGTACGATGCACCCCTGAGTTAATTCATCGTGGGACGAAATTCTGGGATTGGGGAGGACCTTACAGTACTTGTCAGATGTGGTGGCTCATGTCTGTAGTCCCAGCATTTTGGGGGGCAGAGGCAGGAGGATTGCTTGAGGAGTTCAAGACCGGCCTGGGCAACATAGTGAGACCCCATCTCTACAAAAAAATAAAAAATAAAAAAATTAGCTGAGTGTGGTGGCTTGCACCTATAGTCCCAGCTACTCAAGAGATTAAGGCAGGAGGATTGCTTGACCCAGGAGTTCAAGGTTGTAGTGAGCTATGATCACACCACTGCACTCCAGCCTGGGTTAGACAGAGTAAGACCTCATCTCTTGAAAAAAAAGAAAAAAGAAAAGGAAGAAATAAGAGTACTCCCTCTCATTAATTTATTCTTTCCACAAATACTTTCATATGACAGACTTTGTGCTAAGTATAGGGGATTCAGTGGGGAACAAAGATAAACATGGCCCCTGCCTTCATAAATCACTTATTCCAGTGTTACATCACACCATCTCACAATGCATGTAAATGGACAGCTCTGGAAACTTCTATGAAGAAGTGCATTGTGCCCCAAAAGTTTGTCATCTGGATAGGTATTTGACCTATTTAAGCAATCCATAAGGAAGTGAGGCTCATCTGAGACCTGACAAATGAGCAGGTATTCAGTGTGAAGTGAGAGAAGGAAGATCATGAGTTGGCAAAAGTAACAAGGGTATGCCAAAACCCTGTGACAGGAGGGAGCACGGCCGGTGCTTGAGGGAAAGAATTTATTTCTTCCTTAGTTATGATTTATTAGTCAACATTAGAATTTTTTAAATATATATTGTTCTGTTTTTAAAAATTGAGTATTGAAATTATTAACTAAATTTTATGTTTCTCCCTATAGTAGTCTACTCAGGCTAGCCATAACAACATACCACAGAATGGGTGGCTTAAGCAACAGAAATTTATTTTCTCATACTTCTAGAACAGTCGTCCTCAAACTACGGCCCGAGGGCCACATGCTGCCCATCGAGGACATTTATCCGGCCCTCCGGGTGTTTTTGCCACCGCTGCCTGTCCTGCTTAGCAGCTGACTTGTCCCGGGCCCACAGTGCGCACTCTCTAACAGTCTGAGGGACACTGAATTGGCCCCCTGTTTAAAAAGTTTGAGCACCCCTGTCCTAGAGGCTAGAAATCTCAGATCAAGGTCGAACAGAGTCAGTTTCTGGTAAGAGCTCTCTTCCTGGCTTGTAGATAAAGGCCCTCTTGCTGGGTCTTTACATGGCAGATAGAGAGAATTCTGGTTTCTCTTCTTATGAGGACACTAATCCTATGGGATCTGGGCCCCACCCATATGACCTCATTTAATCTTAACCGTCTCCTTATAGGCCTTATCTCCAAATACAGTCACATTGAGAGTTAGGGATTCAACATAAGAATTTTTAGAGAGGCACAATTCAGTTCATAGCATTTCATATTTTTCAGTGTTAATCAGTTTTTCTTTATATAATTTTTGCTATACATTACAGGTCATTTAATAAATGAAATGTTGAAGGGTTTTTATTATTAAATACATCTTTTATTGATATATTTTTAATCTTTTAAAAATATTATTACATAGTGACTGTTTCTCTTAATGCTTTTTTTGTTTTTTAAGAGACTGGGTCTCACTCTGTCACCAAGGCTAGCTGGAGTGCAGTGGTGCAATCATAGCTCACTGTAACCTTGAACTCCTGGGCTCAAGCAATCCTCCTGCCTCACCCTGCCATGCAGCTGGGACTATAGGCATGTGCCACTATGCCCAGCTATTTTTTAATTTTTTTTTTTCTTCGTAGAGATGGGGTCTTTCTATGTTGCTGAGGCTGGTCTTGAACTCCTGACCTCAAGCAGTTCTCCTGCCTCAGCCTCCTACAGTTCTGGGATTACAGGCATGAGCCACCATGCCAGGCTTTAATGCTTTTTCAACATTCATTGATTCACTCTTTCATTCTGTCATATTTATTGAGCATCTACTACAACTGAATAGGACAGGTAATTACAGTATAGTATAACAAATTCTAAAATATAGGGAAGCAAAGGATGCTTGGGAAAACATTCATTTAATAAATATTTGTCAAGTGCATACTAAGTGCTGAGTACTGTCTTAGACACTTAGGGAAAAAACAGCGAACAAAACAGACTAGATTCCAGCTCTCATGGAGCTTGCATATTATGACAGAAACATAAAAGCAAATAAATAAGATGATTTCATGTGTAGTTAGTAGGAAGTGCTATTTAGAACTGGGGCAGTTTGTTAGAGAATGATATGGGAGGGATACTTTTGCTTGAATGGTCTGTCAAAGGGTCTCTGAGAAAGTGAAATTTGAGCTGAAAACTGACTAATGAAATGGATCCAACATCCAAAAATCTAAGGGAAGAATGTTTTTCACAGAAGTAACAGTAGATGTCAAGTCCTTGAGATGATATAAGTTTGGTATGATTAAGGGACTGGAAGAAGGTCATTGTGGTTGAAACCTAGAGAATGAGGGGAAGAGTGATAAAAATGAGGTCAGGGTCAGGTTGCGAAGGGCCTTGTAGGCCATACTATGTTTGATTTTCACTGTAATTGTAAAAGTAATTACATAATTAATTAAAATCTGATTTTTCTCTTTAAAAGACCATTCTGGTAGTTATGGAAGAACATCGGTAAGAGTAGAAACTAGGATGCCAGTTTGGAGCCTCTTGAAGTAATCCAGGCAAAGGAAGATGGTGACTTAACGTAGAGTCCTAGAGATAGAAAGATGGAATCATTCAGAATGTATTAGGTTGAACTATATGTGATTGCTGGAATTTTCAATGGTTCAGTCTAGCATTTTGAAGATAGCAACACTAGAATTTAGTGATGGATTGAAAGTGGGCTA